TTGCTTAATTTCGGATACTTAGTAATGTTAGGGGTTGCTTATTTTCGGGGGTTGCTTATTTTCGGAAGAATACGGTAGATGCAAAAGGAAAATATCTTTAATATCTTAATAGATAATCAATGAGATCCAGAAACAAATAAATAAATAGGTAATTTTTTATTATTAAAAAGATTATAAAAAGATATAAATAAATAGATATTTTTTTAAATATTAAAAAGGTTAAATATAAAGAACAAAGTATAACTAATAAGTTATATAGTTACTATTATATTAAAGAGTTATAACTACTATTAGATTATGAGTATTTTAGATTAAAGAGTTATATAAAATAATATAGTAGAAAATTAATTAAAGCAATAGTTAAAAGATTATAAACAAAGTTGAAATTGGATTATAAAATTACTAATAGGTTATGAAATCATCTAATAAATTATATAATTAGGTTATAAAATTATTATTAAGTTATGTAAATAGGTTATAAAGTTACTATTAAATTATGAATAATTATATTAAAGAGTTATTAACAACTAATATATTATATTTTTATATTTAATTTAAATGATGGTAATATTATAATAATAAATACTTAAGATAATTTTAAAGATTTTAGAAGAGAAATAGATTATATTTTATTATTTTTTTATTATTTTATTTTTATTTTTAGATAATAATGATATTATAATGATAAATATTTAAAATAATTTTAAGGAATTTTAAAAGGAAATAAATTATATTTTTATTATTTTATTATTATTTTATATTTTATATTTTATATTTTTTTAATAGAAATTAATTAGTAAAATTAATAATGTTATTTTTTTGCAAAATTTATATTAGGTTTTATTATTAATAAAATTTTAATTAAAGAAAATATATTGATTTTATACTTATTTAACTGAATTATATTGAAATAAATTTTAGGCTAATTTAAATTCTAATTTAATGCTAAATTATTTATTTAATTAGAATTAATTAGCGATGTATTAAGCTGATTTATGATTAAATTTAAATTCTGAATTAATGTTAATTATTTTATCTAATTAGAATTAATTAGTAGTAATTTCAATGATTAGAAAACAGATCAATAAACCATAAATAGTATTAAAATTGACCTAAATTTAACTATCTGATTTTTAGCAGATTTGGATTATTTTGGTTAGTAATTATAATAAATATATAACTGATTTTATATGCTGTGATGACTTATATAAAACAAATAGAACTTGCAAATACAAGTAAATTCCTTTTTTTCTTTCAATTATATCTTATTAGAATAATTAATTAAAACAAAATTTTTACCTTTTGCAATCATAATAGATAAGATTTTTAAGAAATTCATTTTATAAAGCAATTTTAATTTATAATATAAAAATTTGAGATCAAATTAAAATAAATTAAAGTAAAATTAAAGTAGTTTAATTTGATAATTAATCCGATTCAATTAAAATTTGATTAAATTAAATAGTAATATAAGATAATTTTAATAAATTATTCAATTATTACTTATATAATAATATATAATTTTATATTAATATTTTAACTGAAATATTTAATAAAAATAATATTTATTTTACTAATTAATTTAAAAGATAATAATAATATAATAGAATATTTATTAATAGATAAAAATATTTAATGTATAAATATTAATTTGTATATGAAATTATTAATATGATTTATTATTCATCTGAAATTTAATGAATAAACATTTTCAATATAAATTAAAAATATCTAATAAGTAACAGAATAATAACATTAAAATATTAGTTAAAACTAATAATTAATAATAAATGTGAGTTATATATCTTTTATATTTCATTTTACTAATTAATCAAGACAAAAATATCTAACATATTGAAGAAAAAGATCGAGTAATTACAAAACATGTCAATATCTGTTCAATTGATTTTATCACAAAGGTTTGTAAGTTCATGTAAAAAAAATGTTGTCTTTAGTTATATAGCACATGGTAAAACTTCGAGAATTGGTATTCCGACAGTGGAGTTAAGTGTACTGTATATTGAAAGTATTCGTGGTTAAATCTTATTATTTAGCAAAAATCATAACATCAATCACTTAAAGGCATTACCATACTACAAAAGTTTATATAGTATTTGTTGAGTGTGAATACTTTGAGATAGAATTTCAATCCACAAGTCCAATAATTGATCTGTTTGTTCTACTGTGGAGGAAAATAGCTTTTTTTTTTTTTTTTTTTTACGCGATTAATTTACGAAGACGTTTTCTCTCTCGCTTAAAACACGCGTCACAAATAAATTTAGGATACCTGCAAATTAATCCTTGCTTGGTCCATGCTGTCATTAATTTTTTCAAACATTTTATTCATCTTTACCAAAGCTTCATATTCTCTTTCCAAGGGATTTTCCACCTTGGTTGGTGTAAACCTTCCACTAGGACTTGACATTTTGAACCAAAGAAAAAAAGTGAGAGTTTTGAAAATGATGATCATACCCATACCTTACGTGAAAATGAATTGACTAATATGAAACATTTTATTCGTGTCAAATTACCAAATTAGCAATTTTGCAGTTGCTGCTGCGGCTTACTATTCTCGACTTACTATTATTCTCTCAAAATAAAGACAATGCTTATCCTTTTTTTTTTTTTTTCGAGCCTTGTTTTTACGGTGGTGTGTTACTAGAAATGGATTTAGAAATTTATTATTAAAAAACGCATCATTTTTTTTTTATTATATTCCTTATTTGTTAAACAATAGAAAGTTTACATAATTTACAATAAATAATTGAAAAAATTCCTATTTTAAGACACCTTATCGAATCAACTTTAGATAAACATCGTTCGTAATACTTGCACTATCCGTTTTCCATCTTGGGAACTGTTGAGCGATTTCTTATTCAGAGATGAAATTGGGTAGTAAAAAAAAAATCTTCCATTCATTAAAAATTGTAACAAATCATTTTTACCAAATTTGTTTTACAATATAATTTTTTCTCATAAATAATAAAATTTATTATTATTATTTCCTTCCATTATTGACAAATTAATCTTTGGGAAACTTTATTTGATAAAATCTAAACCAAAAAAAAAACCAAAAAAAAAAAGGAAGGAATATCACTATCCACCACATAAAGCAATGAGTAACTGTTTCACCAAAAAACTTTAGCTAATGTAAGCAATAGAAGTGGGAATCACGATGAAAAACATTTTACAAATTATTTTGTTTCGGAGTTTGAGTGGACTGCAGGAAAAACGAATAATTGTAAAAAAAAAAAAAAAAAAAAAAAAAAAAAAAATATTCTTGAACTCAAACAAGTTTTATTTATTTATTATTATGTATATAATGGGCGTTTTTTTTTAAGAAAAAAAAAAACTTTATAACAAAAAGGTATTACACAAATAATGTATTTTGGGAGTGTACAATGGAAAGTGAAGTCTAGATGCACTAATTAATATATCAATCAAAATAACAAACTTAATTTCAATCTCAATTTAAATTACTCACATATTTCAACTTTCTATGATATCTTCTCCTTTGTATAGAAATAATCAAATGGAAATCTTGTTTCAATCAGTTCCATTTGTCTCCTTTTGAATTTTTCCATTGTCCAAATGCATTTCGAGTGTGAGTATTTTTTGTATAAATATATATTTTGTATATAATTATAATTATTTTTTTTTTGTATTGGGACCCAGACTTGTTTAGTTTAAACCTGTAAAATTGGGGTTACGGGGTTCCAATTCCGTACAAAATGTATAAACTCAGTTATAAACAAGACAATTGTGTACATAGTTGTAATGTAATGATACATTAATGGTAACAGTTGGGTAACCAAGTTTAAATATATTGAGAGTTAATTAAGTTTAAGATTATAGAATGGGAAATTCCAAGTTCAACCTATTTAGATCATAATGAATTCTGCGGGCTTACCATCCTTGCCTTCCCACAAATGGTAATATTAATTCGATTCTACAATACAGGATTTTCTTTTGGAGATTCCTGATTTAGCCCATTTTGCACTACCGAATTGCTACATTTAGGGGGGAATTGTACATGTTCGTACACTATCGAACGTTGTATAACTCTCTTTTTTTATAACGCCTTTTCCACCTGACTCAAAAGACATGCAACTAAACCCAAAGCGATAGATCTGCGGTCGCACGGCAGATTCCTCTCTCACCAGATGTTATCAACAGTTGCGCCGTCAAAAAGCATTTACATATGATTAAGGCATGGATTCTTAACGTTCACCGATTTGAATGTTTCCTTTGTTCTTTTGTTTAGTTTAGATTACATACTTACTTTGTTCGTTCTTATGCTGTCATATTTATCGTTTTGTCATCGCCCTATCGAACAACGTTTTCTTTTCTTCGGGTGCCCGTCCTTCTTTTCGTTACCTGGGATTCAACTAGGATGTTTGTTTGAGACTATTCTTAAATTAGAAGATTCTTTATGCTTTTTATGATTTCCTTTTCTTGATGATGAATACGATTGTGATATTATCGTCGTACCACGATAATTATTAACCTTTCGTCAATCTGATGATGTTTATCATGGTGTTGATCAGAAATTATCTATTTTGTAAGTTATGGTTTATCAATAATAAATAATAATGATAATAATAATAATTATTATTATCTATCAATACTTTATCTTTTAAGGTTACACGATGAAACGAGAATAAGAGCTTGTAGGAACATGAGTCGGAAGTCGGAGAATCGTCGGGTGATACATACCAAATTGGGATTCATATCATTACTAATGAAACATTCGCTTACCACAAATGGGGAAAAAAGTGTCACCAATTTCCCCATTCTGATTCACACTTGATATCTTTGTCGATTATCGTTTTAAAAGAAAATGGACTTCCACCAAAGATTTAAAATATCCCTTTTGAGAACTTTTCTGGCGGAAATGGACGTGTGCAACATCACACCAAAAGAATTACCCCGAGTTCAGAATGTTGTGGCGGTGTTACTTTATTAAGTTTCGTGTGATATCTTACATCTTTTCGATGGTATCATAAACGTAACACATAATAAATAGAAAATGGGGCAGTGGCGTAGTTAATTAAACTATACTAAAAAATGTTGTATAATGTTGTTTAAAAAAAAAAAATCTAATAATAAGCTAATTCGGTAACTATCAGCAACACCATTCAATAACTAAAAAAAAAAAAAATATGGTTTGTATTGAGGAATTCCTTATTGTCTATAGTATATTTGAAATTCCCTATTGTATGAGTATAAATATTTATATACTAAACTATTCTTTTCATTTATCTTTCCATTTCTTTTTAATTTAATGTAATATATATATATATAATTTATATTATTATACCTTTTTTTATATAGAGTTTCATCTAATCCGGTTTTTCCATGATTATTAAGTCTTAGTAAACCACTCTTAAAGTATAATGGTCTTTTGAGTAAAAAAAAAAAAAAAAAATATTAAAAAAATAAAAAAATATATTTGACAGAACAGACCCTGACTGGATTTGGGATGTTATAAAAAAACCCAGCATCCTTTTCCGTCCAATTTGTTGCCCCTTTGCCCCTTTTTTGTTCAAGCCAACTGTTTGGAACTTCATCAAAAAAATTTTCATTTTATTCCTTCTTCCATCCAATTTTCTCTTCGCTTTTTTTTTTTTTCTTATTTTATAAAACCCCCGTTTTCCGCTAATAGTTTGTGACTCGGGAAAATCATAATTTTCTGTTTAAAGAAGTTATTCAAGAACGTGGACTTTACAAGGTATTTTGTCCGTTTATGTCCTAAAATAATTGGTTCCTTTTGTTTTTATTGAAAGGAAGAAAAAAAAGGTCTTTAAGTAGAAGGATTCTGTTATACGCATCCTTTCGAGTTGTCAAAAGGAGCTTTATCGAGATGAATTGCTATGGAAAATAAAGAACGCGCCCAATTCGAAAGAGTCAAATTCCTTTTCAAATTATGAATTTCTTGGACCCCCATTCATCCATCATCTCCTCTTTTGTTTTTTTTTCTGTTTTGTTTATCTTTTATTTTTTTTTTGTCCCTCTCCTTGACCTTACCCTTATGTAACGCTCGTTTAAAAACAAAATCCGTGTTTTTTTTTTTACACGCATAATTTAACAATGCATCAAAAAAAAAAAAAAAAATTCCTGATGTATCGCGCGTGCTTTTTGAACAAATCCCCAAAATTCCACGCATACATATTTATTCTCTTCTCTAGGCATCTAGTTACCTACCATCTAATCGACCTTATTATCAAACTTCCCTCCAAAATTCTTTTTAAATATGATGTACAAAACCCAAAAAATTCTTTTTTGACGTCGTGTCATTTTTCCTTTCCCCTTTAAATTCATTGGTCCTCGATTTGCATGAAAATTTTGTATGAGGCGCAGCACATTACATTGCAGATTATTGACAATATTGGTCGTAAATACCGAATGTTGTACATCATGTACACATGATAATTCTCTCATTCTAGTTTTATCCATATATTATTATGGGATTCCGCTTTTTCATTAATTCTAGATTTATATAAAACGCCACCGCTCACCTCTGTTTATTTCCTTTTTTTTTCTCCAACCTTTTTTTTTTGTAAAAAAATATTTACACAAAAAAAATAGAACGCATACAAACTACGCAACTTTATCGTAATTATCCGAAAAAAGACTTTCCTCTTTTGTATTATTGAATGCACGCCACAGATATGAGTGGAATCGCCGGAAATTCACCAAATAGCCAACGAAAACAAAGCAACGCTTCTGGTCATAGCGTTGATTTATCAGAACAATCGACTCCTCGAGGAACAAAACGAGAACATGATGATGATATTGATGATGATTCTGGAGACGACGATACCGGAAGCAAAAATGAAAAACGTGCCGGACGTCGTAAGATAAAGATTGAATACATTGATGACAAAAGCAGACGTCATATTACGTTCAGCAAGCGAAAGGCCGGAATAATGAAGAAGGTAAAGAGAGAAAAAAAAAAAAAAATTTTTTTTTTTCAGGTTCTTTCCATATTTGTCTCATAAATTAAAATTTTCCGTTTTTGTTCAACGAACCAAAATGGTTTTATAAACAAATGAAAATCATCTCTTTTTACGAAATTTAATTAAATCTTACATAATAAATACTTTAAAAGAAAGAGAGATATATTGACTCACGCTCTTCTCCATTCACAAAAAAATATTTTAGGCGTACGAGCTTAGTACTCTCACAGGAACTCAGGTCTTACTTCTCGTCGTTTCAGAGACTGGTCTCGTATACACGTTTACTACTCCCAAACTTCAACCTCTTGTAACAAAACCCGAAGGAAAAAATTTGATTCAGGCCTGCTTGAATGCACCGGACGCTCCTACGGCCCAAGACGCAACATCAACGGTAAATTTTAACTTGCCAGTTTTTTACATCATCATTTTTCCTTCGCCTCATCTGCGTTTCTCGTTGCCCATGACGAAATTTCCTCTTATTTAGACACGATCTTCAAACAATAATCAATCATACGGAAGTGAAAGTACCACTCCGGTAGAAGGAAATAATAATGATGTCTATGAGAATGATCGCAAGGTAAACATGATAACTTTATTGTTTTATAATTTTGAATTTTAAATATTAAAAATTTAGGTGTGTAATTAATTGTTTTCCTTTTCATTTTTTAGCCCCAACAAACTGGTGGTGGGCAAATGGCACAAGCTCAACAACCATCATATGCAGCACTTGGGTTGAATCCCTACAACCAATATGGAGGAATTCCAAATAGCATGACCTTGAACGCTGGTGCTGGGATCGCTGCGCCTCCATACATGTCAGGTGCAGCCGGATATCCACAATATGGTCAAAACCATATGAACCAATATGCGACAAATAACGCTTACATGCAATCGGCTGCAAACTACTGGGGACAGCCTACTGGAACTGCAACTAATACAAATGGTGCCGGAAAAGTGCCGCAATATTCAAATCAAATTAACCAATCACCCGAAAAGAAGAATTAGAAATGGTAATTTTTTTTAACCAAAGTACGATGAACAAAATAACAACCAAAAGAATGACGAACCAAAACAACCCGATGAACCAAAAAAAAAAAAAAAAAAAACAAAAAATAAAAAATAAAAAAAAATAAAAATTCAGCCATTTTGTATTTTGTCCATATTATAATTTTGTATAGCATTCATTATATATATATATTTCTTTTCGGATCAATTCGGCTGGTCTTTTCATCACATTTTTTTTTTTTAAACTCGGAACAAAAAATTTTCTTACTTTTCGTATATGAATTATTTTTCGTTTGACATGATTCATAATAAGTATATGAAAGTAGAAAGTAGAAGTTCATGATTTAAGTAACTTTCGCATTGTACTATTTTTCTTCTCCCACTTTCCCCCTTCCCCCTTCCCCCTTCCCCTTCCATACCTTTTTTTTCCCTTTCAAATGAAAGACATTGCTATTAAAAAAAAATTCACACATATATATAGTAAATAGTTTTTCTTTCCTTTGATAGGTTGTTAATAATATTTTTTTCTTCCTTTTTTTTTTTTATTACATCATGTTTATTTTCTTTATTTTTGTATTTTTCTTAAAAAACAACTCTCGCGAGTTATTTAAAAAAGTTTTAATTATAGCCGAAGTTGATTGAGAAATCCTTTTGACAAGGAAGCAAGAAGATAAACCGAATGATTTTTTTAACGTTGATAAATATTTAGTTGGTAGTATTTTTGGATTTGAATTATATATATATATATATATATTTTTTTTTTTTTTTTTTTTACCTTTAGTTTATTATATTAGTTTAAATTTGATCTTAGCGTTAGTTTCAAAGAATTTCTTTTTTAGGTTTCCTTTTTTTTTTTTTTTGTAGTTTAAAAAAAAAAAAAATATATATATATACAAATATAAATATATAAATATATATACACTTTATTTTTTTTTGTTTATATTACTTTTTTTTTTTAAAAAAAAAAAAAGGTGAACCGTGATAATATGTGCAATGATTGCGATCAAACGTTTATTTAAAGATCTTGATCATATAAAATAAAAAAAACCTGTAAACCAATTTCAATTTTAACCGCCAAAAAAAAAAATTATGTCCATAAAAGAAGAAATTTCATCTGATTTATCCAAATTTATAAAACAATGTAACTTTGATTCCTAATTTTGCTGAAGATTTGATCAATATTTCTATAAGGAGAATTTTTAATGCTAACATGTACATAAACCTAAATCGTAATTTGTTACCATAATAAATTAATTAAGTTCGGTAATTAATTAAAGGTCTATTATATAATTATTTGTGGGTTGTAACTAAAATCACTATTTAATAGACCGAAATTAGTAATCGTTTATTGTGGGAAAAAATAACTAAGAATTTATGTATGAAATAATATAAATAGAAAGTACAATAATCGGTTTCATATAGTAAATAAATGTAATACATATCTAATATATGTACTAACCAATAGTTTATATAAAAATATCAAAAATGAAAAATATATACATATCATAATGTTTATTTTATTATTGTTATTGTTATTGTTATTTGTCCAAAACTTTTTTCCGTTGTTGAAAAATTATTCCGAAAGTTATACTGTATAATTAATGTAATATTATCATAAAGCACATACGTCGACTTTAATTAATTTCCACCCAATAAGATTTGCAGTTCTTCCAGCCGAGCTTCTCGCACCTTCGCAGCATCTTGTCTTCTCTGTTCTCCAAAGG